GAAATCACCCCTACATTAGAAGAGATAAGGGATTGCATAGACACGGTGGGAACGGGCCTAGAAAGAAGAGCCCGAAAACAAGAGGACGTGTTTATCCCCAACAAACCTTCCGTTGAGGACATCTCGGATTGGTTAGGACTAAGAAAAGATTTCAATTATTGGTGTCAAGATTCCCACATAATGTTCAGAGATCTGTACGTTAGATTTGGACACGCGAGTTTCTATGCCGCGTATAATCGGGAATTTAGAATTTCCTACAGGGAGTGGAACGAGCTCCGCCCGTTGGCGTTTGCCATAGCCTTGTTGGGAACAATGGTCTTCCTGCACGGCCCGAGCCTGAGTATCAACACCAGAGTCATAACACTCGTCCAGACGCTATTCAAAGGGTACGAGAATCAAGGAACGACAAAGTACTACTCCGTAGCCCCGGTCATATTGTCAGACATATATCGCGCTTTGGGTAAGTGCAAAGAGGGACATCGGTACTTCCAGGGGTGTAATCTGCTCCTCCAATGGTGGATTCTCAGCCACTTGGCGAAGGGTGCTGGAACTTGAGAACTGCACACTCTCGACAACAAGAACACCCTCAAGGACCTGAACGACTTGTTATTCTGGGCAAACATGAACAATCGGAAAACGAGAGGGAGATGGGCCCAAATTTTCTCCGAGTTGAGAGAAGAGGACCTCCAATGGATGCTTGACCGCTTCATATCCAAAGAAGTTGTCGTAGAAAGTCGAAGATGTGTCGTGCTTCCTCTACCCGGTATTCGAGGGATCCGCCCTTACGCGCCATTCCGAGTCTTGCGACAGTTCGGAAGGAAGCAGACTGTGCCTAGAGAAGCGTATTATGGTGCTTATGTATATGACATCGGAGACGACAGGGTGGACGACGCTACAGAGATGCTCAGAGAATGGAAGAACGCCAGGCGTATGGGTAAAGACACTATCGCTCCTGACCGATTCAACGCTGGATACGATGAAGGTTACAAAGCATGGTTGAAAAGAGATATACAAAATACCTCCTTTCAGATTCCGCGTAGCTTTCGCAGCGTGACAGACAAAGAGGCCAGAGCAGAGGCCGAATTGCGAGAGTTAAAGGAGGAGGCTAATGAGGTCTATGCCAAATTCGTAGAGAATCAAGACGCACTCGAGAGGGCAACTCAAGAGATCGAGAGACTGAAGCAAGGGTATGACGAGTTCGACAGCTGGATCCAGCAGAAAATTGAGAGGATGCGATACGAGAGTCTGGAAGACAAAGGTCGTCTGGGTGAAGGTTTTCTGTTGATGCTAAGGTACATGTTCCAACAGCACAAAAACCAGAAAGGCGACGACGGAGCAGGACCATCCGGAGCAGCGTAGTGGACATCGCCCCTGCGCGGGTTTTTCTTTCTTTGTATTAGCATTATTTTAGCCCTTGCGTGGGCCTGATATTAGCGCACTTTCTAAATAGCCCCTGCGTGGGTTTGTCTATTTCTCTTTTCGAACATTTTACTCATTATTAAGTATTGTTTTGGGGGGAATATTTTAATTTGGTTTAAATTCACACGTACATCATTCGAATGCGCTAGGCCTACCCTTGGCACAAAAGGGTCCCCATGCATGATTAGGATACGATATATATGTATTTAAATGCTTATGTGTTACGTTGCTTTGAATGAGGACATCGTAAACCCACTCCTAGCCAAAACTCCAAAAAGTACACAGAAGTCACTATTACAAACGTCCGACCAAATTCCCTAGTCTCAAGTTTCTCACTTAAAAATCCATCTCCTATACCATGAATCCTAAATACTGCCCTATCATCCCAGGGAAGTTGAATCACCGCTATGGACAAAGGCAAGAACGTCCAGACGGATCTCACTGAGGAGGAACTACGAAGAAAGATCGAACGAATCACTCGAGAGATTCAGAGGGTTAAAGAAGAAGGACTCAAAGTAGACATGACCACGACGATCTGCAAAGCTGCGGTCACAACCTTGGATGAAGATCTGGCATCACAGATAAAGAGAAAGAAGGAGGTTGAGATGGAAACCGAAAGTCTAAGGAAAAGGTTGAACTTGCTTCGTTTGGAGATACACGAAGGAAAGGCGAGAGAAGCGAAAATAGATATCGAGACTGCCGTGTCGTTGGCCAGAAGTGCGACACTCGACGAAGAATTGGCAACCCATAACAACTTAAAAGGCGGAAAACATCCCGCCCGTGAACAGGGAACAGATAACAGTAGCCCCGGCTATGAAGTAATTGAGGAGGACGATGAAGAAGAAATCGTCTACAAGCCTCCATTTTCGACTGTCTGAAAGGAAAGGAATGACGCCACCACAAGACAAGAAATCGCCAAATGTTGTTTTCCAGAAATTTCAATGTTGTTTTCCAATTCCCTTGTAATCACAATGAAAGAATGAATGAAAAATTTTTCATCCTTGTATCCGAACTACGTTGGGCCTGAATTCTCCTCGTGAGATACATAGGCAGTCTTTCCCGGCCCGGCCCCTATTACCAAAAATTTTCATTCTCCTCCGTGTTTCGGAGATACGAAGATAAGATCGACGTCCACGAAGATAAGATCAACGGATGTCGAAAAGCAGCTTCAAGAAGACCGTAGCTTAACGTGATTTATCTTTCCCGAGATGACGTCAAAACAAACAAATTCCTGTTTGTTCAGAATATATTTCCGTCCTCATTCGTGGGTTAAGATATCTTCAAACAAAGTGACCTGTGTGTTTACCTGTTTTATGTGCGATATTATGCATTTTGTACTCTGGATATGCCCTAACAAATTTTCCTTTGAGTTGTTTTTACATCTCAGGTACCTCTTACTGATCTGTGTCGATAAAGCTGGTAGATCACCACTACTTCACCAGATCAAAAGGTCGCGCAGATTCCTTCCCCAGGTCAAACGCAAATACAGACATGGGCGACAACAATGAACAAATTAGCCTCACAGATGTCGTGGTGGCTCAGCCAACTGTGGCAGAGCAGAATGAGCTTATTGCGCAGTTGATGCAGCAAATAGCTGACATGAGGGTGGAGATGCAACGGAGGCAAGACACCCCTCCGCCCGGATTCGGCCCCAACTTTCTCGACGCAAGACCCCCTACATACTTCCCCTCGTCCAGCTCGAATCCTACTCAGCAACGTCCATCGACACCCGTGCACAACCCGTCTGGGGTAGACATGACAACCCAAAACCCCCAATACGCGTCGGTCTCCTATCAAACTCCCTCACCACTTCCAAACAATCCTCCGCAAATGCCACCACATCCCCAAAATACTCAAGCAGCCCCACTACCCCAAAATCAAACCCAAAATCCCACCACCTTCAATTCCCAAACACCACACCCCCACTTAAACCAAAATACCAATCCCCAAAATTATCCGCAAAACTATCAAACCGCACAGAATGTCCCAAGCCCTTCCATAGCCGCACCCCTCCCCAAAAGAACTACTTTCCAAGTCCCTGTCCCGACCGAGCATGAGGTGCACGGCTCCGAGTTGGACCATTATGAGGAGCAAGAAAGAGAGTGGAGAGCGAGGGAAGAAGCGAAGATAGACATAAAGGAGGAGATCAAGAGGGCGATGAGAGAATTGCAATGTACTCCAGACGTCGCTGGGTTAAGCTACGCAGAACTATGCATCCACCCAGACTTGAACCTACCTGAAGGGTTCAAGATCCCGAAGTTTGATACCTTCGGAGGGGTGGGCAACCCCATGGCACACCTGAGAGCATACTGTGATTAACTCGTGGGAGTTGGTAAAGATGAAGCCTTGCTGATGAGGTTATTCAGTCGGAGCCTATGCGGTGAAGCCCTGAAGTGGTTCACGTCACATGAGACTCGACAGTGGCCCAGTTGGAGTGCACTGGCTAAGGATTTCATCGACAGATTCGCATATAACGTCGAGATAGTTCCTGATCGGTACTCCTTGGAGAAGATGAAGCAAAAGCCCACAGAAAGCTATCGAGAATTCGCGTACAGGTGGAGGAAAGAGGCGGCAAGGGTGAGGCCTCCGATGACAGAAAAAGAGATTGTGGAGGTGTTCGTGCGGGTGCAGGAGCCCGAGTATTATGATAGGATCATCTTGTTAATCGGTGCCAAGTTCGCCGAAATAGTCAAAGTGGGTGAGACTATTGAAGATGGCCTGAAGTCGGGAAAGATAGCCCGAGTGTCTGCATCGCCTGAATCTTCCGAACAGGTAAGGAAGAAAAGAGAGGAGGTTAACGCTATCTCGCACGGGGGAAGAAAAATCCCCAAAAACTTACCACGTCCCCAAGGCCGCTCCAATCCTCCATCAAAGCCTCATCGAGCCTACCATCCACACTCAAGTCACTCCGGCCACTACAATGCTGCCCCCCATTATCCAGATGCCCATATTGTGTCGTATCAAAATCCACCCCCGATTCCCCAAAATTTTCCCTCCACATATCCAAACTACCCCCAAGCTTATCAAGTACCTCCCCATTACCAAAATGTTGCTCCTAGCTGCGCTAATGTACAGCCAAGCTATCGAGCACCATCTCCGGCATATCAAATACAAACCCCAGCATATCAAAACCCCCATCCGAATTATCGAGCCCCAATGCCAAACTACCAAACAAATCCCCATCCCAGAGCCCAAGCTCCACGACCAAATGCCCGCAGTTATCAACAAGTCCCTCCCCCACAGCAGGGCGGGTATGATCCCCCTCCCCCAGGTCTGAGAAGAAGCCCTCCAGAAGCTTCACCGTATTGGCTGAAAGCAGAACTAAATTGTTCGAAAGGTTATCCGCGGCCGGATATATCCACCCTGTGGGCCCCAAGCCCGTGGATGTCAATTCCAGATTCTACAGACCGGAGCAGAGATGTGCTTACCATTCCAACAGTGTTGGACATGATACAGAAGATTGTATCAATCTCAAGCACAAGATCCAGGACTTGATTGACCAGGAAGTGGTCTCTCTTCAGCCCGCGGCGCCAAACGTCAACACGAATCCGTTGCCAAATCATGGGGGTGGAAACATCAACATGATAGAAACTGACGAAGATGAGCGTGAAGCCAAGAGAATTACTCATGTTGTTCAGGAAGACTTGGAGAGGGCTGTCGCTTCTTTGAGCGTCAGGGAAAAAGGAGAGTTTGTCATTCTGACACCTGCAAAGGCTGTTGCCTTGGTGCCCGCAAAGACTCTCGCCAAGCCCAAGTTCGTTATAGAAACGGCCGTGGCGCAGGGCATGACTAGATCTGGAAGATGTTACACTCCTGATGAGCTTGCTCTCGGAGGACAAAAGAAAGATCATGCCAAGAGACCGATCAGCGAAGCAGAAGCTGAGGAGTTCTGGAGGAGAATGCAACCCAAAGACTACTCCATCATCAAGCACTTGGAGAAAACTCCAGCCCAAATTTCAGTGTGTGCCCTGCTGATGAGCTCCTGGTCCCACAGACAGGCTTTGATGAAAGCCCTGGATGACACATATGTGCCCTCGGGTACGAGCAGCGACAATGTAGCTGCTATGATTCACCGAGTCATTCAGGGACACCGTATCAGTTTCTGCGACGATGAACTGTCGGCCGAAGGGAGAGCCCACAACAAAGCTCTACACATCACCGTGATATGTCACGGAAAGGTCATCAACCGTGTTCTGGTAGACGACGGATCTGGTTTGAACATATGCCCCCTGTCCACATTGAAGCAGCTGAGGTTTGACCTCAGAAAGTTGGAGCAAAACCAGGTCAATGTGAGAGCATTCGACGGTGTGCAGAGAGACACGTTGGGAGCTGTGAACCTGACCATCCAAATAGGCCCCGCAGAGTTCGAGGCAAAGTTCCAGGTGTTGGACATCGACACCAGCTATAACCTTCTTTTGGGAAGGCCATTCATCCACGCGGCTGGGGCCGTCCCCTCCACTCTCCACCAAATGATAAAACTGGTGTGGAAAAATGAAGAACTAGTGATTCATGGTGAAAAGGGTCAATCGGGAAGGCAAGTGCCGGTCTCGGACGAGACACCGCAAGGTTCGGACTTCTACACGGTAGAGTTGATAAATTCCACTCCTATGACGGCCGTGTACAAAATGATCGCCACGGTAATGCTGCAGAGCGGATTCGAACCAGGTTTCGGATTAGGAAGGAATGCGCAAGGGATCATCGAGCCAGTTCTGGTCTTTGCTACAGGATCAAGGTATGGTTTGGGGTACATCCCCGCAGATGATGATATGAAGATGAAGAGGAAAAGGGATCAAGGGTCGACTAAGCCGATCCCGCATCTCTATCAATCCTTTCCAGTCCGGGAGTGTGCCGAGCCTGAAGACGATGGGGAAGGGATCTGTGACCTTTTCCAGGAGATCAATGCCATCATCGAGGAGGAGGCTGAGCCAGCTGGCATTCGTGACGCTGAACCAGGGGAGATGCTGCTGAATTGGACATCCACGCCAATCCTGATGTCCCGAACTCTGTGGTAGAAAGGAGTTATTTTGTGCATATTAAAATCGGTGGTAGTTCGGAAGAGGCCCGAGACCCACCATTTCTGCATTTTCTTGATTTTGAATTTTGTTATGATGTTTAAAAGGCAACATGGCCTCGCGCCATGACCCAAGTTTGCATTTTTTATTCGATTTAAATGAAAGCCTCCTTATTTTGACTTTGTTTATTTAATTGCGAGTTATATTTTACTTTCCTAATTTTGTCTGTTTATAATTTCAGTAACGTAAGTTACAAACCTGCTAATGTCATGTTATGTCATGGGTTAAATGAGCAAAACGAGGAAAATGACGACGACGTCGATGACCACGACGAGGAAAATGGGGAACCGGACTATGTGGCCGAAGAATTCCGACATTTCGAGAACCAACATAAACCGAACCTGGAGGAAACAGAGACGGTGAATTTGGGTGATTCAGAATATGCCAAAGAGGTTAAGATCAGCATTCATTTGAGTGACACTCAGAAGGAGAGCCTGGTTCGCCTGCTTGCTGAATACCATGATGTGTTCGTTTGGGAAGTCGGTGACATGCAGGGGTTGAGTACTGATGTCGTGTCTCATAAGCTGCCTATCAATCCAGGGTTCGAACCGGTGAAGCAAAAGACTCGAAAGTTCAAGCCTGAATTGAGTCTGAAGATTAAAGAGGAAATCACCAAGCAGATAGAGTCCCGATTGGTAGAAGTGACACAATATCCCACCTGGTTGGCGAATGTCGTTCCGGTCGCCAAGAAAGATGGAAAAATCAGGATTTGTGTTGATTACAGAGATCTCAACAAGGCTAGTCCAAAGGATAATTTCCCGTTGCCAAATATCCATATTCTGATTGACAACTGTGCCAAACATGAGATGCAGTCATTTGTGGATTGCTACGCGGGTTATCACCAGATTCTGATGGATGAAGAAGACGCGGAGAAAACGGCCTTCATCACACCTTGGGGGGTATATCACTACAGGGTGATGCCGTTTGGGCTCAAGAACGCCGGTGCTACTTACATGAGAGCCATGACGACCATCTTTCACGACATGATTCACAAGGAAATTGAAGTGTACGTGGACAACGTCATAATCAAATCCCGCGAGAGTTCGGATTATTTGACACACCTGAGGAAATTCTTTGAACGTTTGCGTCGGTACAACCTAAAGCTAAATCCCGCCAAATGTGCTTTTGGAGTCCCAGTTGGGAAGTTGTTGGGGTTTATAGTCAGCAGAAGAGGTATTGAGCTCGACCCTTCCAAGATCAAAGCAATTCAAGAGTTACCTCCGCCGAAAACGAGAAAAGAGGTGATGAGTTTCTTAGGGAGGTTAAACTATATCAGCTGGTTTATAGCACAATCGACAGTGATGTGTGAGCCTATTTTTAAGTTGCTGAAGAAAGCCGCCCCGACTAAATGGACTGAGGAGTGCCAGACCGCTTTCGACGCTATCAAGAGCTATTTGTCTAACCCACCAGTATTGGTTCCTCCGTGAGAAGGGAGTCCTTTGTTGCTATATTTGTCTGTTTCAGATAACGCCTTTGGATGTGTACTTGGTCAACACGACGAGACAGGGAAAAAGGAAAGGGCTATCTACTACATCAGTAAGAAATTTACTCGTACGAGTCTCGCTACACTTTACTGGAGAGAACATGCTGTGCTCTGACGTGGCTTGCCCAGAAGTTGAGACACTCTTTGTCGTCATATACTACATATCTTATCTCCAGAATGGACCCATTGAAGTACATTTTCCAGAAAGCGATGCCGACCGGGAAGTTAGCTAAATGGCAAATGTTGTTGAGTGAGTTCGATATCTTGTATGTGACTCAGAAGGCAATAAAGGCACAAGCTTTGGCTGATCATCTCGCGGAAAACCCCGTTGACGAAGAATATGAACCACTTAAGACGTATTTTCACGATGTGGAGGTGTCATTTGTGGGTGAAGATATCTCTGAACCTTATCCAGGTTGGAGATTATTCTTTGACGGAGTGGCGAATCACCAGGGTAAAGGTGTTGGAGCAGTCCTGGTATCAGAATCTGGTCAGCACTATCCTATGGCGGCTAAACTACGATTCAACTGCACAAACAACATGGCTGAGTATGAAGCTTGCATTCTCGGTTTGAAAATGGCCGTTGACATGAATGTTTACGAGTTACTGGTTATCGGAGATTCAGACCTCTTGATTCATCAGGTTCAAGGAGAATGGGCTGCGAAGAACCCAAAAATTGTACCTTACGTACAGTACGTCCAAAATCTGTGCAAAAGGTTCCGCGGGATTGAGTTCAAACATACTCCCAGAATACAGAATGAACTAGCTGATGCTCTCGCAACCATCGCTTCAATGATCAAACATCCAGATACTGATTACATCGACCCGTTGGATATAGACTTGAGGGAACATCCAGTCCATTGTTCACATGTTGAATCAGAACCAGATGGTTTGCCTTGGTATTTCGACATAAAGAGGTACCTGGAGTCTGGGACATATCCAGAAGACGCCACATCTAATCAAAAGAAGTCGATACGTCGTATGGCTCTCAATTTCTTTCTAAATGGAGAAGTCTTGTATAGGAGGACTCCAGATTTGGGTCTTTTAAGATGTGTAGATGCTGCTGAAGCTGTGAGGCTTATTGAACAGATACATGCTGGAGTTTGCGGTACACACATGAATGGGCTTACTTTAGCAAGAAAGGTTCTTCGAGCTGGTTATTTCTGGATGACTATGGAGAATGACTGTTGCAAATTCGTGCAAAAATGCCATAAATGTCAAGTGCACGACGATTTGATACGGGTGCCACCTCACGAACTTAATGCTATGAGTTCACCTTGGCCATTTGTAGCTTGGGGAATGGATGTCATCGGTCCTATAGAGCCAGCCGCTTCTAATGGACACAGATTCATTTTGGTTGCCATCGATTATTTCACCAAGTGGGTGGAAGCAGCCTCTTACAAATCAGTAACCAAGAAAGTGGTGGCCGACTTTGTATGCAACAATCTGATATGCCAATTTGGAGTTCCAGAATCCATCATCACTGATAACGGTGCAAATCTCAATAGTCATCTGATGAAAGAGATATGTGAACAATTTAAGATTATTCACTGAAGGTCAAGTGCTTACCGCCCTCAAATGAACGGAGCTGTAGAGGCCGCCAACAAGAACATCAAGAAGATTCTGAGGAAAATGATTGACAAGCAGCGGGGTTGGCATGAAATGTTGTCGTATGCTCTACTGGGTTATCGAACGACGGTCAGAACATCAACTGGGGCTACTCCATACTTGCTAGTATACGGAACAGAAGCAGTCGTACCTGCTGAAGTCGAGATACCGTCACTGAGGATCATCCAAGAAGCTGAGCTAAGTAATGCTGAGTGGGTTAGCAAACGGATTGATCAACTAGCTTTGATTGATCAGAAGAGGATGGTCGCTGTTTGCCATGGCCAGTTGTATAGACAAAGAATGACTCGTGCTTTTCACAAAAGAGTAAGAGCCAGAAATTTTGAAGTTGGTCAGTTGGTTCTTAAGCGTATTTTTCCTCATCAAGACGAGTACAAAGGAAAGTTCGCACCAAACTGGCAAGGTCCTTACATGGTTCGCAAAGTACTATCTGGAGGTGCTTTAGTCTTGTCAGAGATGGATAGCGCTGTATGGCCCAAGCCTATCAACTCAGATGCTGTCAAGAGATATTACGCGTGAAGTTCGTTTTGCATTTTCCCTCATTTACTTGTAATCTTCTGTTTGCTTGTATTTGTTCGAATTTGAATTCTTATCCCTCCTGTAACGAACTAAGTCTGACCTGAATTCTCGAGAACGAGATACGTAGGCGGCCTGTGTCGACTTCGGTCACCCCATTTACCCCCTTAATTATTTCTTTGCATTTGAACTACGTTCGACCTGAATTCTCAAGAATGAGATACGTAGGCGGCCTTTGTCGGCCTCGGTCGGTTTCTTTGTAAATTTTATTCTTGTTAACCTTTAAGGGGAACTACGTTTGACCTGATTCCTGCCCCAATGGGATACGTAGGCGCCACAAGGGCTCGGTCATATCTCTCGTAAGATTTTTATTTCCCTTCTACAATAGAAACTGGGACAGAATTTTTGAGAGGGACTCAAAAATTCTCCAGAAGAAGTCTCCTCTTCAGCAAGTCAAACTAAAGATATTTCGAGATTTGCGACTGGGATAGAATTTTTGAGAAGACCTCCAAAATTCCGCGATCTGTTCGGTTACAACGGAAAGATGAGCAAGACAGTAAACTGGGATAGAAATTTTGAGGATGGCCTCAAAATTTCGTTATGGGTCTTCCCTACAAGTCCGGAATGCCTCTGAAATTCATTCGACAAGCGTCGGACTCAAAAGAGCTCGTTAAGCCGGACATGACATGACTTGGCGGTGACTTTTTCAAGATACTATTTCTTAAAAAATTTCTTGTTTCTCTTAAAAATTTCCCTTTTATATTTCATCTGTTTTGGCATAAGATATTTCCTTATCTATCAAGAGTCGGGAAATCGGGAAATCAATTGGAGACATCAAGACAAGGAGCAAACAACCAAAGAGATCGACACAGATCAGTATGTTTAAAACTGACAATTTTTCTGTGGATGAAGGTTTATAGCTTCGCTTCGAAATCGTCCGAATTCTTCCGACTGATGAATACGGAGAAGGAGAAAACTATCTCCAAAGCCAGTGATTTTATTGAAAGCAAGAAGCATTTCATATCGTTTATGCCAAGATGCTTGTGAATGTGTTTGTTTATTTCAAGCCATTCCCCAATACATGAAATTTACAAAGTGCCTGGCCAGATTCAAAGGTGAATCAAAAAGGAATCTCAGCGAAGATTTCACGATTTCTATAGAAGACGCTATTTGCATTGCGTTATCAAAGCAAGATGATTATTGTCGATCAAGACAATGCACTACCTCAGAAGAGACAGCTATGCTATTATTATTTTTATCATTATCGATCAAGTCAATATATTATTTGGAGGTCATCTTGCCGTTACTATCCACGGGGGCGATATAAATATTCATGCATCGCGGGATTTATGCCTCGCTGGAATTCATGCATAGCGAAAATCATGCATCGCGAGTCATTAATTATGCACGACGAGAAGATTTCATGCCTCGTCAAAATTTATGCATCGCGAGAAGACTTCATACCTCGCTGGAATTTATACATCGCGAGAAGAATTTATGCCTCGCTGGAAATCATGCATAGCGGAATCATGCATCGCGAGTCATTACTTATGCACGATGAGAAGATTTCATGACTCGTCAAAATTTATACATCGCGAGAAGACTTCATACCTCGCTGGAATTTATGCATCACGAGAAGAATCCATGCCTCGTTGAAAATCATGCATCGCGGAAATCATACATCGCGAGTCATTAATTATGCACGACGAGAAGATTCCATGCCTCGTCAAAATTTATGCATCGCGAGAAGACTTCATACCTCGCTGGAATTTATGCATCACGAGAAGAATCCATGCCTCGTTGAAAATCATGCATCGCGGAATCATGCATAGCGGAATCATGCATCGCGGAATCATGCATCGCGGAAATCATGCATCGCGGAATCATGCATCGCGAGTCATTAATTATGCACGATGAGAAGATTTCATGCCTCGTCAAAATTTATGCATCGCGAGAAGACTTCATACCTCACTGGAATTTATGCATCACGAGAAGAATCCATGCCTCGTTGAAAATCATGCATCGCGGAAATCATGCATCGCGAGTCATTAATTATGCACGCCGAGAAGATTTCATGCCTCGTCAAAAGTTATGCATCGCGAGAAGACTTCATACCACGCAGGGAATTTACATATTGCGGGAAGATATTTATGCCTCGCAAGAGGACATACACGGATAAAGAAAGAGCAATATTTATCCATCGGCCTCAACCACATTCCTTATTTTGATAAAAGAAAACATCAAGAAGAGCATCGAAGATAACGACAAAAGAGACATCAATATCGCATCAACATTTATTTATTTATTTTAGCATCAAATGAAGAGTACACTGAAGATTTTATTTACAAAGCACAAGGCATGATCTTTATTTGCTGAACGTCAGACCGATCGAGTCGACGTCGAATATTGAGGAGAACAATGAAGTGTCGACATGGTAAAAGACACTGTCTCCCTTTCTAATTGCATTTTAAGCTGACGAGTTTTATCTCAGTCTTTGTCGAGGGCATCCAAAAAGGATGAATTCTCCAAAAACCACAGGTGCGGACAACATCAAAAAGGATGCAGCACAACGTGGAACTTTTTCTTAGCAGCGAACTGGGACATAGTCCGAAGGGGAATGTCAAACTCTTTGGACGCGAGCAGAGGAGCGGCTTCCACCACAATCGAACCACCCTCTCAAGACATGCGGGTTTTTCTCTAGTTCTGTCAGTTTCGGTCTCGCATCCGGAAGTTTCAATCTTTCAGAAGCAAGTTTCCAATTTGAGTGACAACTCGCCAAGAGCCTTGGAAGTTATGTCCGTGTAAGTTCTTACCTATGGATGTGAAGAGCTCCACATTCATGGTTAAGAGATTACAAGCCTCTTTTGCATACTCGTTTAATTTGTCACTTGTCCAGAACCGAAGATTATCTGGCATAATAGATTTCCTTCTCCACCGACTGAGTCGAACTACACACAGCCTGATTCTGAAGGTTTAGGGATATGTAGGCGGATTTAATATCGAAACTCGGCTGTATCCCAATATTCGCTCTTGAATTCTGTTCTCAAGCATTTCGGCCCTTCATAATTTGGTGTCGATGTGGCTTTTAGAATTCTTTCAAAATCGTGCGTTGAATCAAGCTTATCGAACTACAAGTGGCCCGAATTCTCATATAGCCTGAGATAGGTAGGAAACCCATTTTCAAGGGTTCGGCCATAATTCCTAAACCCTTTGTCAAATACTTCCTTTAAAATGAATAGGGTTGGCCAAAATTGGTGGTCAATTTCATTTTCCTCGAGTTGCTTGCATCAACCCAAGTAAAATGAGGGACAGTTGTTGACACCCAATTTTTGACCCGCGTCGGTATAAATTAATTATCGAGCTTCGTGAGTTTTTCAAATTATTTAAGTTAATTAGTTTTATAAATCTTGCAAAAAAAAATATATATGTATATATATATATGTATGTATGTATGTATATATGTATATCTTAAATTTAGAAGGTATTCTATTAAACTAGTTTACTTTAAATCACAACTATATTTTGAATCATTATTTTATAATTTAAATAATTATGTTAATAAATAATTAGGCTCGTTAATAAATTTATATCAATTTCGTTTTAAATCGATGACTCCTCTTAAATTTGACTTGTTTTCCCTTTTTATTCTCTTTAGAGCCGAAATTGGGCCCTTCTCCAACCTACCAGCCCACTCCAATTTCCCCCCCTCTCCTTTCCAGCCGCCCCAGGCCCAAAGAATGAGCGGCCCATTTCCCTTTCCCCTTGTCAACCCCACCTCAATTCTGAGGCCCACTCTCTATCCAACAGCACAAATTTCCCTCAGCCCAAACCCTTTAAATCTTTACCCGACCCAACCCATTCGACCCGATCCGACCCATCCCCCTTCTTCTTCCCCTTTCCTTCGTCCCAACAATTCCCAAAAAGACAGAAAAAATGTCAAGAACAGAAAACCCAGAAAAATGCAGAAACAACAGACCCCCCCAAAACGGAAATCTCCCTCCCCAAGATGCGACCTCTCCTCGCGTCTCTATCCGTCTCTCTCCCTCTCTCCCATGCGACCCCTCATTCCCCTTTCTTTCCCCATAATTCCCAGAACAGAAAAACGCCAAAGAACCCAGGAAACGCAGACAAAAACGCAGAGGAAGCAGACTCCGAAAATGAAAAAACTTCCCTCTCACACGTGAAGTCTCTCCCTCACGCGTCCTTCTCTCCTCTCCTCTCGCTAGTACGCCGCGTAGCCTGTCAGTGCTTTCAGCTGTGGCAGACCTGCTCGTCCTTGCGACAACGAGACGAGGACACGTCGCTTGCAAGGACGATAGCCTCAATCCGAGCCATCCAACAATGTCATTCTTCAGAGGTTTGGCAGCCTTTGGTACAAAACCCAGCTGGGGGAGGATTTTGAATTTCGAATT